GGGAGGTTTATAGAGTGCAAAAACTTGTTTTTTATTTGCCTCTTCAAAACCTTGGTGCATCTTATACTCTGCTGCATCTTATATTCCAAAAAAATACGGTATATAGATAAATAATTCTTGGCTGAAACTGTCTTTTATATTGGTTCCATATTTTCTAAACAGTGCTTTAAACTGCTGTTCACTTACCAGACTGATTCTCCACATTTGAAAAAAAAAACACCAATGACCTGTTTCAAACAGTGCAGCTATCCATTATGTGATTTAGAGTCTGTGATTTATGATTGAGCATGCTTGATACCTAGCCAACATCTATGGAAAGCAACATCACAAGGAAAGTTGAGGTAATCCTCAACTTATAAGCGTTCATTTAATGACCGTCGGAAGTTACAATGGTACTAAAATAAGTGACTTATGACCGTTTTTCACACAACCATTGCCACATCCCCATGGTCATGTGGTCAAAATTCAGACCTTTGGCAATTGGTTCATATTTATGACGGTTGCAGTGTCCCATGGTCATGTGACCACCTTTTGTGACCTTCTGACATGCAAAGTCAACGGGGAAGCCAAATTCACTTAACAACTGTTTTACTAACTTAACAGCTGTGGTGATTCGCTTAACAACTATTAACTATCTTAACCCTAACCCTTACATAGCAACAGAAATGTTATGCTCATCTGTGATCATAAGATGAGGTCTACCTGTAATAGTTCTGCCTTTTTTTCTTCTTCTATGACAAATTTGATCCACAAGATACTTAAACCTGTAGCAGAATTTGACAGATGCTTAAATATTCATGCCTGTAAATAAATTCATGTTGAGCCATGAGAATGAAAATTTATTGCTTCTATTTCAGATTTAATAGTTTAGCACATTGTCCAAACCTCTGATTGCTATAAATCTTCCAAGTCAACATTATAAACTATTTAAGCCACATGTCTTTTAAGGAAAGGGTGGAAGAGTATCACAAACACATCTACACTTGTAGTGCGATCACTCTACTTTTCATACATCTTCCGTATGAAAAATGGATGGAATACTGGACAATGCAGGAAGATTATAAATGGATGAGGCCATCCCCAGGCCTCTGCAAAATATGTGTGAATGAGCCACGATTATTCCCCAATAGATATCTTGTTTAGCATTTGCGTTTCATGCGCACCAAGCAATGTCTAGCCAAAATGATTGCAGATTGCACTGTTTTCACTTTCCCCAATGCTCTTTGAAAAGGACCGACAGTCATGCAAACATACAACACTGCTTGAGAATAACAGTCACGATAACTGTTCGTTGGCATTGTTCTTTCTATGGAGCAGAGACTTAAGTTGCACCCTACCTGTCTTTAAACACAGTTCATCAAAGTCAACACAACAGCTGCTATAGCTCTTGCACAGGTTGTCACAACGGCACATTGGAGGATCGGCTTCGTCAAGTTCAAAGCATCGGTTTTTGCAGGAGCCATAAGTAGTGATC